GCTGGGCCCCAGCACGGAACGCAACATTTTGGACTAGATTTTGTAAAGTTTAAGCAATATAGTTAGGCAAACAAATAAAGCATTGAAATGGAGCGAAGTTCTGTGCTTGTGTTTTCACTTAACACTGCCTTGTGAAGGTCTTCACATCCTTCGTATTGAGAGGAACGAATTAAAAAGTTTAATAGAGGTTAAGATTCTCACTATATTGTCTGAGTGCGAATTTTGCGGTTAATATCTCCGTGAGTTACAAGCAAATTCAGTCTTATGAGACCTTGCATACTTTGAGGTCTAAACACAGTCATACTTCTGCTAATCAAATCTTTAACCAATACATTTGCCTTTTCATCAGAATTCAGACACCATAGCAATTCTTCTTATTATCTACCACACAATTCTTATGATGTTAGTTCGGAGAAATTCTCTCTTGTTGATTTAAAAGGTAATAGTGATGTGATTCGTCTAGGAATTTTTTAGTCATCTTTTCACGCGTAGACGAGCGAAAGAGTTTAAATGGCTTGGTTAGACTTCTCTGGAGGAGAACGGAATTATCGCATATAAAGGCAATGTAAGAGATAAAATCAGTATTACTCTATTTACAAAGATTTTGAAAACGGGTGAATAATAGTAGATCTCGTAAATGTATAAATGTATATATATATATATAGGGAGTCGTTAGTGGAACTCTCAGGCCAACAAAGGTGCACCGCGCCAGAAGGATCAATAAAGATTCGCAGTCCAAACCTCACAGCAAACACGAACGTAGAAAGTTTAAAAATTGCGAGGATGGATAACTTCTGACGTCAAAAATATAAAAAATTTTAATAAAAACGTTTCGGTCAGAGACTTTCTTCAGTTATTTACAGCTTTTGAAATAAAAAAAGAGAGCATTAAATAAGATCGAAGTGCTAATGATTACGTATTTACAGATAACGACTAATGAACTGGTGCTAATAAAAAGATAACAAAAAACCTAATTACAAAGAAAGCAATGGACAAAATACAAGAAACAAACCCCAAAAACTAAGAGATAAGAATACTAAATATGTTAAAATGAGTGGCGTAACCAATTGTAAAGAAGCAATGCGGCCCACTTTTAACTACAACTGTAAACCGTAACAAAATCCCAAAACAAGGCCTTTGGAGCCCGAAAGGGAAAATTAGCAACAAAATCCCTGGAGGGGCCTTTAAATGATATTAATCATAATAAGATTCCTTGGCAGGGCCTCTAAGCCCAATCCACACCTAAAGGGCCGACAAACTCCAAGAAAAGGGCTAATTTCAATTAAACAAATTCTGTATAAGAGGGTAACCCTGACCCTGTACACCCCAAGTAATCATACTTAAATAGAATAAATGTTTGAAAAGAAAATTTGCCCTGATTCCGTAATTGGATTCTCCTTTGTCATCCGCTAAGTTGACTTCGGTCGTGTATCTTTAATAGATCCTTAGCTGGGTTTTCATATGGGTTTATAGGCTTCCCCTACCCTGTCACCTTGAAAATTAAGTTTCCAGGGAGACCACGTCTCCGATCTCGTAAATCACATCTTCGATTGCCGTGTTGCCGGCATGGTTGTCCTGATAGTGTAGTTGTCATCACACCTGACTAGTAACAGGGGGACGTGGGTTCAAATCCCACTCGGGGCAAATTTTCTTTACAAACATTCATTCTATTTAAGTATGATTACTTGGGGTGTACAGGGTCAGGGTTTCCCTCGTATACAGAATATATATATATATAACGAGTTGATCTGCAGAACTGCTTTCAGACTGCTCAATAGTGGACTAGAGCGTGTTATAATTGAGAATGGGGTGGTCAACTGAAGATTTGGCTTGGCATTTATTACTATTTAGTTTCGTACTGCACAGCTTGTGTGGCACTCGTCGGATAAAATTGCCAAATGCGAACTTACAACGTTACACTGATTTGAAATAACGTTCACCGATTTGAAATAACGTGATACCTACCATATATGGGTTCTTTTCCTTAAGTGTGCGCAATAAAGGTAAGGGCTAGAAATAAATGAGTAAATAAAATAAATAAATGAACACAGACACTAAAGCGTGGCAATGAATAAACACAGACGTGTGTGAACTAAAAGTAAGGGCTAGAAATAAATAAAAAAAAAAAACGGACACTATTGCGTGCCAGGGTAGGTGTTGAAATTTTTCAGGAGGAATTTCTTAGTATGTCTACATGAGGCGAACAGTTCATTTCGTTTGTTAAGAGTTTGGGTCTGCAAAATTATCTGCAAAGTTTCGGGTTTGCAAATTATAAAGTACTTCTCCCAGAGACATAAGTTACAGCGATTTGAGACAGGGCTGTATGGAGCGGCCTGCTTTAGAATCTTCCAGGAAATAGTGTAATCTATGTTCTTGCCTTTTAGGTTCCAGACATGTTTACTTAGTTCAGTGCTGTACTTAGTTCTTTTGCTATTGAATGAAGCTTTGCATTGTGGTTGGCATATCTTATCTTGAAGGAGTTTTCTGTCAGGCCCACATAGGTCTTGGGGGGATTATTTTCTTCGGTTGTTACGGTCGCTTGATAGACAACCGATTCCTTGAGGCAGTTTCTACCCATGGGACACTCAGCGGGGTTTCTACAGTTGCATGCTTTGGTTGGTATGGCTTTACTGTTTAAGACCGATTTGTTGTGGCTCTCGGTGGTTTGCTTGAGGTTGGGCATACAACTATAGCTGATCTTTACTGTGTTGCGGTTGAAGATCTTGTGTAGCATATTGTCCTTGGGGAATTCCTCGTCGAGTATCCTTAGAAATACACGTCCAATGTTGGTTTCTACATTTCTGCTGTAAGTTGGATTGTACCAAATAATTTCTCTCCTTCGATTCGATTTTAGAGAGTGGGTAGAGGTTTGGGATGAAAATGTAAGTTTATGTTTTGTATCCACTGTTGTTGAGGGCATTCTGATAGAGCGGCGCTGCCTTGTAGAAGGATTCTTCATCGTACGAAATCTCTGACAAACGTTTATTTATAGATCGTGGAATGTTGTCAATTATGGACGGTGGGTGGTTGGATTTCTTGTTGATGTAAAGTGGGTTGTTGTTAGGCTTGTTGAAGGGCATGTATTTACCATTGTTAAGGTTGAGAGTGACATCGAGGAAGTTTAGGACTTTCTTGTTGGCTTCGATTGTTATTTTAAGGCCATGCCTCTCAAAAATTCTGCAGAGATATTTCTTAATTAACTCTGCTTTTAGTGGTGATTCCCGGATCACTCCGAGGCCGTCGTCTCTGTATAAGCCAAAGTTGTGGCCATGTTTCTCCTTAATGGTATACAGGAGATAACAGCCAACGAGCTCGCATGACTAATCTTTGGCTCCATTTTAATTTTAAGCTGACACGTACGCTTACCATATTTGTAGATTATGGTATATTGGCTGTTAGAACATAGCTGGCAGAGTCGCGCAATCAAATTCATTATACGTAAGCGTGCTCAAAATCCCGATAGTGCACGCTGATAGCGTCAGCAAATCCGACTTCGCCAGAAATTTTTTTTTCGCGCGAGTGGCCATTGTTAGCGCGGGGAAAAATAATACATTTCGCGACAATAATGGATACAAACAGAAACTCGGCCTGCTAGTCTGAAAACGAAGACAATGTTTCGACCTTTTCCCATGGGCTACAGTTCTTAAATGAGGCAGAAAAAGAGAAAAACAAAGGAAAAGGAGACTCGGCATCAGCGCCGTCACGATTCGCTTCAACTGATATTGTTGTCCGTTTTTCGCGTCGCATTTGATGCACAATTCCACCGGTTATGTTCTAAAACAATTGGTTCATGCTTTCAGCTGTGCACTTTCGAGTTATGGAGCAATCAAGAAGCTAGAGTTGCCCTCGGCCATCGCCTCGGGCAACTCTTACGCTTCTTTCGTGCTCTCCAAACTTCCCGCGTGCTCCATAACTCGATAGTGCACGCTAAAGCATGAACCAATTGTTAAATATACCATAATGGCTAAGTCAATAAAAATTCTTGAATTGCATTATCCAATGGTCTAGTTTTTAATAATAACCGATACTGCCACATCATATATTCTCTGTTGTCATTAGAACAAAAAATTTTAACTTAGAATTCAGTTCAAATTTTTGATTTTCTAAGAAAAAAAATTAAAAAATCGTAATCATTATTTGCAAATGTTATCAATTACAAATATACCTTAACATAAACACTTCTGAAAGATCCTGCTCAACAAAGTAGTGGTCAATATTGGTGGAAGACACAATAATGGTAAACGAGATTGAGACATCATTGGCCGTCATCAGCAAAGCAATGGCAAATCGGATTGGAGCATTATTGCATTATTAGCCATCATGGGCAAAGCAATGGCAAATCGAATTAGGACATCAATAGCCGTACTGGGAACAACCATGGTAAATCTATTTGGGACATTAGTGGCCGTATTGGGAACACCAATGGCAAATCCAGTCGGTGCGGTGGCCGCATTGGGAACAAGAATGGCGAATCAAATTGGGAGTCGGTACCGATTATCGGCACAAATTTGGTAAACGTGGTTGGTTGTTTTTGTTTTTTAACACGCCGTAGGGGGGGGGGGGTTGGGAGTGAGGAGCCTTGCTCCCAATTCCCCCACCCCTTTGACCATCTATCCATCCGTCCATCCATCCACTAATCCATCCATCCATCCATTCAAGCACCCATTTACTTGGTAGTCAGGCCAGCAATTTATAAAAACGGAAAATCGGAGGCTAAAGTAAATACAACCTCTTCCTAAAATTGGGCACCCTGATAATTAGCAAAGGAAATTGAGTGCTTTTTCGGCATTTAAGTTCTATGAAAACAGTTGCACTTTTCAGGTCCGTATCTCTTACTCTGGTGAATTCTTTCATATTTCAGACCCACAGGTGAACTACTTTGGAGGAAGTAAAGGTCGACGCTAGGATGTTATCAAAAAATATGAATAAAACCTGTTCCAAATTAGTTGTTTCTCTGTTTGATAAGTTTTCAGCTCCACATCGATCTCTTACTTTGGTAATTTAATTCTCTCATATTTCAAGCCCACCTTGCAACATCTGGACGAAATAAAGGTCAGCGCTCGAACGATATAGGGAAATATGTATGGAGAGTGTGTTAATTGGTTTAACTACATTACGACGCACACTATTTAGACTCACTTTTGTCACAGTAGTTAAAAATTCTAACGAATAGCATTTGAAGCAAATAAAGGATTGAAGATTCATTTACCTGTACACCCCTAAATTAGTATTCAAATCCTCCTCATTGTCCTCTTTGCATATCATGTGGTACTGACAAAGAGAATTTGACGACCATTTCCTTTATTCTCGTGATCTTAATGTTTGCTTCAAGGGTGAAAACGCGAGAAGAAACTAAAAACAGGTCACTCTTAAGTGTCTTATGGTAGATGCTGGTTTGAGAGGGTCACACGTATCTTTTATGTAGAGGAACGGATGAAAAAGTTAAATTAAGGTCAAGGTTTTGCAAATGATATCTGAGTGTGAATTATCCCGTTGAGGTTCGTATACAATCATGCCCCTCGACAAACTTAAATCGATCGATGATTATAGTTTTTTATCAGGGTTTAGAGGCGATAACATCTGGTTAATAACCGTGTTTTATTTATCCAATTGTGCTTCGTAGAGTACGCGCGAGACAAGTACAAATATCACGCGATATTTGTACTCCAGAAATATCCGCCAAATTCGCCCTCACTGAAATAACAATTTGGCGTGCTGGATAATAAATGTCATGTTAGACGTTTGGTTGTGTAGTATCGCTGAGTAATTTTACTCGTTGTTTGTATTTTGACTCGCCCTACGGGCTCGTCATAATACGGCACAACTCGTAAAAATACTCAGCGACTCCATACAACAAAACGTCTAATAAGATATATTTATTATATAGTTGCCAGAACCCGTGGGAAAAATGAGAAGAATCCGATTAGCTACGCGAGTGGGTAAGTGCAATATCATATTCTCTTGCTTGGTTACACTTCTCTAGAGGAGAATGGAATTATATCACAGAAAACTGCAATGTGAGAGATGAAAAAAAAGGATGCCTCTATTTCCTTTTGCATTTCCTAACTCGTTCCTATTGATCATGATAATAAATTTCGTATAGTGTCAGGAAGAGATAGCGCGTAAATTAGCCTTCATCAGAGCTACAATCCTCGAGGAAACTCAGAGAACAATCCCCCCCAACCCTCCAATTTTATAGTTTTGGTAATTTAAGATGTAACTTTTTTCATGATGGTCTCACTGGAGTTAACCATTACATTTAGCTGTTAGGTGTACAAATTGACAATTTTTTACCGCTAGCCCTAAAAAAAGTTCACTGTGAAAAAATTTCGGCGACTGCAATGGAATGAAATTAACCTTTAGCTGTAAAAGCCATCGCCCAGTTGAGGCCCTCTTTCGTATACCAATGCTAGGACTCAGTCTTCCACTCTCAAACTTTCACTGATGACATCTTTCGCCATTTTTTTTCATGTTTCCCTTGACGGTCCGACGCAGCCCCAAACAGTTTCTTTCAGAAACTATCAGCCTTTGATCTCAAAATAGTTTCGAAACGGTCAAAACGTCAAGGTATCTCTTGCTTTGTTGGTAAGAAAATCGTTTCAGACGTTTTCCTTGACTCACCATAACCCAAAATTCAAATTGCAATTGCAAGTTTTTCAGGTCTTGAAAATGATATCGTTAAGTTGCATGACTTTCCAGATGTTTAACATACCTTATTATACGACTCGGGCAGTCAGAGGGCCAATAACTAAAATCAACCAATCAAAATGCTCTATTGCCAGTCAATATTCTCTCAGTATTGGACCGGGCACTAAATCATGACCTAAATTAATCAACGGTTTTTTTTGAACAGCAAGGAATTATTTCTTTCCAGAAAAAAGTTGGACTCGCTTAATTAGATTTCTTTTTGGCATAAGGATTATCATAAGCGCCAAACATTTGCCTAATTAAGTCCTGTATGGGATTTTTCCAGTTTGTAAGCTGTATCTTTTTATTTTTACCTTTTTCCATGACAACCGCGTTGAAATTCGGTGTAACTATTGGCTGTTATTTACAAAATCTCCGTTTAAACAGCGACTGATAATGGAATGCTGTGTTCTACAAAAAAGGCAAAAACAAGAATAGAAAAGTAATGTAGGTCCTAAAAGTTGACACTTGTAAGTCACTGAATAGATAAATGCTTCAAGCTGTATTAGGAGGAAAAAAACTGCATGTTTCCCAGACGATAGGCAAAGTTATAAAGGCGAAATATATTTTTTGTACTTTTCTAAGCCACGATATAAAAAAAATTAGTCATTGGCAATGGTGCATCTAGGGAAGGTGCCCGGGGGCTCGCCCCCCCCCCTTATTTTGGGTATAAACGCAGATGGAAGATAAGCCGGCAGGCCTACACACACGAGCAAAACTGCCCTCCCCTCCCCCCCTCAGCTAAAGGTCTGATTGGGAAATTCATTCTATGTTGCATGCAAAGGTCGAGCTATGTAATTAAACACCGTTCAAGAAATGTTTGTGGGTCTGCTGTGCTCCGAGCGAATTCCTTCTTTGGCCTGAAAGGGTCTGATGCGGCCAAACAAAGTATGGTTATTGGGTTCACGATTTAAACCTGGGATGTAAAAAGTCACTATTTATATCTTCATGAACATTGTACCGGAAATCTCCAAGATGGCGCGAGCGACAGCAATACGCAATAGTTATGTCTGCTATATTAACAATTTTCGCAACTGTAATTGCTTCATACCATCAGTAAAAACTTTTAGAAGGAAATTCAATTCACTCGATTAACCACCGGTTTTTTAACTGCTTTTAGCTTTATTTTTGCTAATAGTTTTTTTTTTTTAAGACCACGACATTTTTACGAGGAGCAACTCTTCCTCGTTATTTCTTTTTAAATCTCGTTTCGTCGACACATGCTGGAATACTGTGCTGTGCTAATATTAGATAGCGAAGACAAACATGGAACATAAATGAAGAGCTTAAAATTTCTCACTGTTAATTCATTGATGAAACGATCTTTCAAGCTGTAAAAACAAATAATTGCCTGTTTTCTAGCCGAGTGGCAATGTTTCACCGGCTTAATGGTTCCTTTTTCCGTTTTTTTTTTTTTCTTTTTAAATTCGGGAAATCAGTCCATGGTATTGAATATTGAGCCGTTCGGAAATTTATTTTATGTTGTTAGCAAACGTTTAGAAATAAGTTCTCACAAAGGCAAATACCTCGAGCTAAGTATACACTTCGCGTGAAATACATAAGGTGCTGAAATTATGGGGGAGACTCATATTTGGTCTAAACAGGTATGTGCATTAGAAAATTAGTATTACCTCAGGAAACAACATTCACAATTAGCCGGGGGTGTAACACTTCACTTAATAACTTAACTGGAAATCGTGTATACTGGACCAAACGTGGTAAACTGGTTGCAAGCCCAACTCTATGGTCTTTCTTTACTCTCACTGCAAATATAACGTCATTATTTTTCCAAAAATTGAAAGGGTTGACGGCACAACCCCCTACGAATTGCCACAAGTGCATTCTCCACCCCTAATCTTATGAACTTATAATTAAAACTCTCTTTCGAGACCTGTGCTATTTACTCGGGGCCCGGCGCTCAATCGAAAGCATTTGTTGAACCATTGAATACGAACTGGGAAAATTTACCATTTGCGACAGCCTTTGTTTAGACAATATTCTTATTAAATGCTAGATAAGTCTTTCATTCGTTAAAATAAAATGCCACCTGCTGACAGACTTGAAACGCCACCTCAAGTTACACCTGACAGGTTTTTGTTTAAGAGAACTTCCCCAATTCATTTAAACATTAATGTTTTCAATTCGCATCAAGTCAAGGAGTTGTCCTAAAATTTCAATTACCTGCTTTCCTTGATCAGTGGAATTAACAATTTAGCTGTGGTTGAAAATAGGGATACTGCGTGGAAAAGTTAATGTATCGGAACCGAAAGACGATTTAAATTCTTAGATATGGCAATTTGCCGCGTACTGGAGGTAAGATTTATGACAAAGAAAAAGTTGTTCTATTGTTGGAGAAGAACTTCCCGTTTCACATCTTCTAATCATCCCGCTTTCATGCGTCATTGTAAACTATCAGAAACGCAATTCCATAGAGGAATACTTATATCACTTGAATTTTAGAAGGTGGATGTTGGTTCGACATATGTCATTAAGAACTGTGTTTCATTACGCTCTTACAGTTTTGCTAACGTTCGTTTAGAATTAAGTCCGAAAGAAAATTATTTCAATTAATTAGCATTAAAAGATAACGTGTAACGAAAACTTTAACTCAACCTAATTTTCCTGAGGAGCAAAAAGCTGATCAGATAGCCAATTTTTTTGTATGTTCTTGTGAGAAACTATGTTTTTTACCTGCTTAGACTCATTGGTTACTGTCATGAGTAAATGTTTATGAAATTTTCTAGAACATAAAATATTAACCAAACGGAAAAAAAAATCATCCATTTCTAATGTATTGTCTAAGAGACTCTGCAATGATATGGAAGCAATGGGTCGCACTTAGCAGCATAACCTTCGCGGGACGCTGAAAGGAAAGTTTGTTAATTTCGAGCTGAAGGCGAGTGGCACACTAACTACTCGCGGTAACGAACCAACATCGCAAGTGCATGCGATTTTTTTTTTATAAAGTACTTGTGATGTTGTCAGCATAATCAGCAATAGGTTTTTCAGCCGGTGAGATTGCGTGTAGTATCTTGGTTATATTATGACTGATCATGAATAATAAAAGCTTGGGGCTGGAGCATGCAATATTTTGAAGGACGACAAAATGAAAATAAGAAGTCACAGAGAATAGGCACACTTCTCAACTCTTTTATTCCCAATTTGAATTGAATTGAATACCAAAGAAGAAAAGATTTGTAAATGAAATTGATTTCACACGAAGGTATCGCTAAAGAAGTTTCATTTGCAGGATCGCACAGTAGCATTTTATCCCCAGACCTTAAGCGACGTCAGAACCAAATTGCACAACGTGACACGGGCACTGTAACTACTTGGAAATACACAATAGCTTTCTTTCAAGTGCTCAATGTTTGGGGTTTCATCCACATACTGAGAAATGTACTAACATAACATAACATAACATCAACTTTATTTCAACACGATAAGTGTTTAAAGCTTCGCGCTTATGGAGTCGTGCATTTAAACTAGTCCTAAAACTAATATCTATTACTAACTTAGATACAAAATAAAAGTAAGATTACTAATAGTTAATAATTATAAAAATTTGTACAATATATGTGATATAATCTGCATAAGATATCATTCAAAATAAAAATAGTCTTGGTCACAAAAATTAACTGTTGAGGAAGAGGTACTATACCTTGGACAGCATGATAAACATTACCACTTGATAGTAATGTTCACTCAGTAGCTATCATTTCATTTGAATACGGTCCCACACTGGGTTTCTTCGTCAGAACCAAATGAGAACTTTACCGCATTTCTCCAACTTACTTTTGAGCCTGTTACACTGGACCTCGGCAAGAATTGATTATATTCATGCTGGATAACCAACGTTTGTACACATGAATAAGTTATTATAACGTCAAGATTGGAAGAAATTATTTGAGAGCGTTACATGCTACCATAACTGCAGATGGATCGCTATGACCACGAATGTTAATGTGATGTTGTACTTTTCAAAAACCCAACCACACGCCTGACCAACGCATTTGTTCAACAGACTATAATTATCACCCATTGCCTATTTATGCACAAATTTCAAATTTCGTGCAATTTCGATCATTAATTTCCTGAACGAGTCTCTAACCTGTAATTTTAAAATAAAGGTCAGAAATAAATTACTCTGCTGTTCCTTCGCCGTGAGAGTCTTGAAAAAAACTTCCTAAAGGGAAGAGAGAAATTAACGAAAAAAACAAATAAAATTTTTTCCTTGCGATTGAAATGCTAGAAACAAACTCTTTTGCATCACGTCTGATTAGTTTTGTAAACAGGTTAAAAAAAACTCAGCCTTTTGAATAAAACTGATATTTACAGAAATGTTTTTATGCAAATTTGAAACACTAACGAAGCTCAAATTAAGTAAGTCCAAAAGACTACACATAACAGTCTTTTTCAATTTGCTCATCTTAATTTCAAAACCATGCCGAAAATGAAAATACAATAATTATGCTTTGATACTTGTGTGTATCTCTACCATTAAGGAAAAGTTTTCGGGTCCAAAATTACCTTTCTCAGTCGTGTAAAGCCTATTGCATGTAAATAAGAACTCTTTTAACGAGTTTCGTGCGTGCGAATCACCATTAGGTGCTTGCGAGACAACCAAGGACCCCTATCGTAACAGTTTAATAAAAATACTCGCAATTAGAATCAAAATTTATATTTTTTCGCGTTAACTTATTTGGAAAACAAATCTTTTCCATCAACTAAGGTAGCAGGACGTGCGAAGCACCGATAAAAACTATTTTTGGGCCCGTACATGAGGGGGAAGATCATTTCACTTAGAATTTTAGTTTCAATTTATTCTTGAAAATTCAACATCTTTTGTGTTAACACAGTCTGCTTGGAGACAGATGGTACACGTCTGCACACCTATGATAAATGTTTTAATGACTTGAGAAGTTCGCTCACAAAAACACCGTTAATTTCATTTGTTCTCAAAGAGAATTTTCGCCATCTCTTAGACAGCATCTTTTTGGATCTATGTTTGGCCGTACTCAATCAGCCTCTAATTTACAAAACTCATCTGCATAGAGAGGTCGCAATTTTAATAATGCTGACGTCTTAAAGCATTGACTTTGCGCGGTATACATTACTTAGCATTTTAATCGAGGTGGCTCGCCGTGCATAAGCTGTTGTAGTCAGTGGTAGAAGAAGAAAAAAAAAACCTGTACTTCAGGAACAACGTCATTGATCAATTAGTATCAACGGTTAAAGGTGAACCAAAATATGATGTGAAAAACTGAAACAGTTTCCACAGAGCTAGATGCAATAACAAAGATGCCGTTTTCATACAACCCGCTGTTGCTAAAGTAACGACGATACGGAAAGTTTGTTCAAAATTTATAATGATAAGAAAACCATTATGGCAAAAATGTGGCAACAACTTATAGTCCAGGTAATACGTATGTCGATATGTTTTTGTTATTTGTGAAACCACAACATCTTAGGCGAATTTTTCTTAGCACATGATGAAACCCAATTATATGCTTGCTCTTGACAGATCACCGCTATTTTCGTGGTTATATATCATGGCAGTCAAGCTGAGGTACAAATTGCCGGTAAGTTGGCCATAGTGCAGTAAAAAATGAAACCGCAGTCAGCTTTTTAGAAGAGAATAGTATTCCAGAAAGCCGCATTAGCAGCCTAAACCAACTCTAAACCAACTTATTAGTAATATTGAGCCGTGGGTAAATTATTCATAACCTCTATATGGTCTGACCTAAAACAGGCAAGTTTGGTACTAAATTTTCTGGTCACGATAAAGATGTAACCAAGTGTTACTCACTCATTCCGTAATACTCAAGGTAAGTTTTTTTCCACAGAATATTATGTATGACAGTCTAACGTTTTCATGTTATTAATAATGAATAATGCACAACCCTTCTTAACAAACAGCGTATAAAAACGAATACGAGAACGATTTTAGCCGACAAAACGGCTACTATTGTCAATTACAACTACAAAGCTTTTTACTCAAATTCGCGTTCTACTCTTTTTTTTTTTTTCATTTTGTTGTTTGATCCTATTAAAGTTCGACGAAAAGAAACACGAAACTAAGGATTGTCCTCGCAATTGTTAATTATTGATTTTCTACACTCTCTTGTTGGATTCGAGTTTTAATTAATTGGATATGTGTTATATTCTACCAAGTATTTTAACTCTGTTAAATACAGGAGGGTAAAAACAGTTTCAGAAGACCTTGTGTTAAATAACATGGGAAGAAAATTCTAGAAAATTTGGCGAATTTCCAAGTGGCAAAAACGTCACGTATTTTAATTAAAACGTCCCGTATTTCACCTTTAGTAAATACTGGCAGGTTGTTTCATTAGTGACAGAAAATAATCGCTACTGTCTCTTCAATTGACAACACCTCAAACATAGCTTTTTCTTGTCGCTTTCAAAATTGAATTCTCTTGAGACCGGAAACGACGAGATCTCAATTCTAAACAACCTCTTTTGGCTTGAGAGTAAAAAAATAGAAAAACCAAAGATACTTTGGAAAAAATTCCAGTCGAGATTTAAGAAGTCCGAATTTATACTTGTCTGTGAAAAAATTTAAATTTTTTCCTGTCATTGATGAAAAATTTATAACTGTTGGCCAAAAGGTATAATTCAGCGGAACATGATATTCACAAAAGATAGCGTGATACACGATGATATAAGTGGTGCTAGGGCTTTCTTTATCCTCTGCAAAGTCACGTTTCGCTGAGGGAAAACAAACTCGCTCAATCTTTTTTTTTTTAAACGTGGTGCAGCTAAGCTAATTTCACAGTTAATAAGCATGATCCCGAATCATGATCTTTATTTTTGGCATTTTAAAGTGGAGTTCTTGAATCCAGCAAAACATCTGCTTTCCAATACGTTCAGTTTTTATGAAAAATAAATTCAATATCCCTGCGTAAGGGCTAACGTCAATTTTAATTTCGGTAATGGGTCTCTCTGCAAGAGAATATTATCAGTGATAATCACTTCTTTTTTGAGTGACGTTCAATGCAAAGTTACTCCCGCTCACTCAGAATCCATTAGCAAGTATCTACCGCTATAAAAATTGAATGAATAAATAAATTCGAATTTTTTCTACTTAAAAGCTTGATACTAAAATGTTTTCAAATCCGACTAGAAATCACCACCTCGATTTTCATAATTGAAAGAATAAGGTGAAGTACACCGCTAGAAGTAGATTTTTCATCAATTTGTGCCATGAGCTATCTACTTCAATTCAAGCCCAGGCGCCTACAAATTTAACGAATTCCAAATGGCATGGGATATATCTAAGTGGGTTTTCAGCAAACTTGAACTGCACGCGCAAAAAAAATGTGCTTCATCTGGCCACATCAGGCCCCTTCTGAATTGCTAAGCTACATGTAACCATCTGCTATATGAATAAACTACACATCTAAAACTGCAGCGGAAAAATATCTTTGACAGGTGTTGTAAAATTATTTTTTTCACAATAAAGGTTTGAAACCGGGAGTAATATTTAATAGCAGATCATGTTAGCCTGAGTTATAAAAAAGAAAAATTAAGGAAGATGACTTTTATTCATGGAGCAACAACAACTGGAGCGGAAGCCCTCGTTAGCGTCAAGTGGAAACTCGTTAAGTCGGTCGAATTCAAGATGTCCGGTTCGTTAAAATTAATCGGTTGGTTTTTCCAGATGTTGTCATCAGAGTGTCTCAATCAGTGGAGTTAACCATTAGCCATAAAACGGCCAAAAAACTGAGTCGTTCAATCAGGCATAAAAACTGAACAAATCATAACCGTTATTCGTTTAAAAAAATGTAATCGTTAAAATGTTTTTGTTAACGGTTAGCAAGTGTACGCCATTTTGGATTTCCTGAGATAGAACTCGGCGCATGAACAAACACCACAACCACTGCCAATTTCGTTGTGTTCGTAAAATTAAGAAAGATATTTTGGTGATTCTTGTTGGTCCACTCTCGAATGCTACATTTCTATGGTAATCATTTTTTTCATAAGTTTTATTTGCATTTGAATTAAAGCTGTTTTACCTGCGTAAGGCTCAGGGGACTGCATTCTAGAAAGTGATCATGCGTATGAAGCACGATCCTCGCAGTGAGAGCGCTATTTATGCAAAATAGCGAAAATCAGACCTGAAAAAAAATCAGGCCTGTACGGGATTCGAACCACTGACCTCTGCGATACTAGTGCAGCGCTCTATTAATTGAGCTAACAAGCCAACTGGGGGCAGGCCGTTAAGTTGATTCGTAGTAAACCCGTGATGATAAATTTACGGGTTTATTACAAACTTAACGGCAACTTAACGGCCTGCTCCCAGTTGGCTTGTTAGCTCAATTAATAGAGCACTGCACTAGTATCGCAGAGGTCAGTGGTTCGAATCCCATACAGGCCTGATTTCTTTCAGGTCTGATTTTCGCTATTGCATAAATAGCGCTCTCTACTGCGAGGATCGTGCATCATACGTATCTATAACCGCAGTTCAAAATATATGTACTTCATATATTCATCGTATCTCATTTATCATCACGGGTTTATTACGAATCAACTTAACGGCCTGCTCTCAGAGTCTTGGCAAATGCACATCTTTTATGTTATCATTATTATTACGAAATTGGGAGCTCCGCTTTTACTGGCTTGGCTAAATCTATATATTACCTTTCTTATTCTTTTCACTCTCATCTTAGCACCAGAGAATCTGAACGTTTACGACAAAACTGGCCACAGCCTGTTCATCGAATGGAGTAAAGTAGAAGGGCACATTCTTGGTTACAGAGTGCGTCATCAGCGAAATGATACTCCTGTCGCCCTTTGCAACAATGGCTCGTTGAGTAACAACAGTTCGTTATTTGTTTGCAAAAACGTGACAGCTGTGCTAATCGAAGATTTGGATGTATACAAAGACTATCAAGTCGAAGTAAGAGCGTTTAATAACGAAACCTTTGGGCCAAATTGCACCGTCGCAGTTTTCCGCACCGATGAAGGAAGTGAGTAAGAACGTCCTTACGTTGTTTTCCACTATTACGGAAATCATATTTTCTTTGCTTTATTTATCAGTTCAGTTTTTCTGGATGATAAAGGGGTTTTATTTGATGCTTTTATTTCACCTGTTAAAAGTTTCCCCTGCGCAACAATAGTCACTAAATGCTTGTTATTCGCATTTGTTTGTTTGTTTGTTTGTTTGTTTGCAAGTAATGCAAGGCAACGTTGAGGAGAACAAGATAACCAAATAAACAACTAGCATTCGGAAATGGCCCTATTGCGTCATCTCGATATTTTGGAATTTAAATTATTCATTGATTGTTCTTTCCAGTACCAACACATCCGCCTGTTAACGTCCAAACAAAGGCGGACCCAAAGAATGCTACCTTGATTGCGGTTTCCTGGGGAGAAGTCCCGCTAGAACATCGTCTGGGTAAAATTTCCCAATACTTAGTAACTGTTATTGAACTTGACGACAACAAAGAAGGGGTTGGCAACGACAGTTTCAATGTAACCAACATGAACGCGACCATACCCGGTCGCTACCCCTTCACGTATTATAACATCACTGTCGCAGCGTGGACAAGCAAAGGAGTGTCAAACGCCAGTGAGATCAACCAAGTTCAAACCGCACAGGCCGGTAAGGAGACAATTGACGATGATGGCTAAAACTGATATCAGGATTACTAAAGTGAACGAAGAAAGATTATTGGGAATCAAGGGGACCAGTAATTGTTTATTTCCGGGGGGGAGTGATCGGAGGATTTTGGGTGGATCACATGGTTTTCAGGGGGATTAGAGGGGGATCCATCTGCTGCCAATGAGGAAGATCATTAAAATACTACAGAGCAGGGCATCACGTAAGTTTATTGTAGCTTAACCAAAATCCCCCAAGCTCTTCCTCCCCCCCCCCCCCTTATCTCCATCAATACGGCGATGAATAATGACAAATCCCCAATAATAGGTCACGGTATATGGGAAAAAGGAACGAGGACAAGGAACAGGAAACGTGGAACAGAAAACAGGGAACTGAAAATAGATAAAAAAAAAATCTAAAAATGGCTGCATATGGAACAAAATAACATTTTATCTTACTTTTCTTCACGTATGTTCACTTTGTGTTTTCTTTCACTTTAGGACATTCTATCGAAATCTCTCCTCCTTGTTTGTGGTCAGCTTTAAAACTCCCGCACCATTACCTCAGAAAATGAGCTCTCTTAGAGGAACCTAAAATCCCTCGGAGGCTTTGAAGGCCCTAAGAGAGCTATTCGTCGCAGTCGTCGCAATATCTTGAACTTGAGATCTTTGATTATAGGGCATTTCTGTTAACTAAAACTGATTTTTTTTTTTTGTCGGGGAGCAGGGATTGGTGAGAGCACTCGCCTCCTGCCACTATGGCCCGGGTTCGATTCTTGGACCTGGCGTCACATGTGGGTTGAGTTTATTATTGGTTCTTGTCCTCGCTCCGAGGGTTTTTCTGCGGGTCCCCCGGTTTTCCTCCCTCCGCAAAAACCAACATTCCAAATTCCAATTCGATCTAGAAACAGTGGAGAAGAAGAGCCACTCAGGGGAATGTCCATTGCTAAATCATTTATTATTTAATTTTATCGAATTGAACAATAAAACAAAAAATATAAAATATTCCGGAAAAGAAACAAGTTCTGTCAGGACGGCGAAGATAAACCCCGATTTAAAATGACAAATTTGAAAAAAATCAGTGAAGGTTTTTAATAGGACAAACTGTGACCCAGGTTCCCAAAATTCAAAATGAGGCTTGCTCCAAAAAAAAGAAAAATAGAAGAAAAATCGGTGAAGGGGAGGGAGACGGAAGTATCTGCTTAGAGATCTTCAACTCAATAGTTATTTCCTTTTTTGTCTCAGCTCCATGGAATCCTCCGACGAACGTCAACTACTCTTATGACCCCTACATGTTGAACGATACTTTTAAATTTACGTGGGAACCAGTGGTAAATAGATTAAATGGAATTCTTCGTGGTTATGAAGTGCGCTGGAAGCAAGTCAACTCGAGCACGGAAAACGTCAAAACAATCAACGAAACGACAGACAAATCACAACGCAGGCGTAGACGATCAACTCCAACTCAAACCATCGCAAGAGAAATCGAGTTGAAAAATTTGAGTCTTTACACCAACTACTCTTTCAAAGTGGCAGCCATAACAGTCGCTGTAGGGAAATACAGCGAAAAGATATATTTCAAGTCACAGGAAGGAGGTAGGCAATTTAACAAATGGTAAACACCACAGCGTACACTATTGAGTTATGGATGCACGCGGGAGGTTGCTAAGCACGAAAGAAGCGTAAGAGTCGCTCGAGGCGATAGCCGAGAGTGACTCTAGCTTCTTGAGTGCTTAGCAACCTCCCAAGTGCATCCATAACTCAATAGTGTACGGTGTGGTGTTTACCATTTGTTTTATAACATAACATTGATACATTGTAGCTAAAGAGTTCCCTTTTATTTAACAAATCTTACGTGACCAGAAAAAACAAGCGCGCGCGGAAAAATAGTCTTTGCATTTGCTCACGTCAGCAGCGTACACCCATGGGCAAATGGAAGACGCTAAATTGACCAATCAGAGCGCACGCTTTACTTTGGTTATGTTATAATTCAACTTGGTAAATACTTTTGTTTTGGCCGTCTGCGTTCGCAAACCCGGGAAGTAGAATAATGTAATGACACAAAATTATGAACAGAAAAAATTACAATAGCCATGCGCGTCTTATGCGAAGAAAGTACACGAGATTACAAAATTTGTGTTGTCTGATAACGGAAACCCCGCGGGAAACTTCCCCACATAAAATGTTACGTTTTATTCACATGTTGCGCTACAGCTTGCCGATGTAAGATACACGGTAAACACATCAATTCTTGAGAGAAAAAAGTGTTTATAATTTTAACCTATTCACTTCCGGTGCTCAATAGTAATTCTCTTTAGTTTGGAGAATTTGGTATCGGATCAACTTATAATCCCTTAATTGATATCTTCTTCATTCTCATCACTTGTCTGCTTGATTTTATGTTGATATTGTAAGGAGAAATTCTATCTTGGTCACTCGTGGGAATGAAAGGGTCATTTAGCGTTTTCATAGTTGTCGTTTCATATTTACACTGAACCGCTGACCATTTGGCTGAGTTTGTAGAGTGCGAAACGACCATGCGGAAGGTCGAAGGTTCGAACATTGCAGAGAACAACCTACAGGGGCTCAAGCTAACAGAGGATAATGTGTTGTATTCGCGAAAACATCTACGAATGGTAAGACATGCTGATCTTTTCGGTGAAGGACTATGGAACGTAGCCTCTAAAACTCACTCACACCCCTCCCCACCCGAATTCAAAACGTCCCCATCAAATAAGAGAGAGCGGAGTCCCTTATCCCCTCCCCTCCCCCTCCCCTCCCGGAAAGAGGTTGCAAGGCCTCATCTCCCGTATCTTCAGTGTATAAAAGACTTCGAAGAGCCTACACACTTATTACAAAGAGCAGCGACCTGTCTCTGCATTAAGAACATCTTCAAAATATTTCCCTCGATTCTTCGAAGTTGGGGACCAAATTAAATTAAATCATCACTGATAGATTTTTTTCCATTTAATAATAGTCCCAACAGCACCACCAAGAGAAGTGAAAGCCTACAACACAAGTTCCAAGTCAATAAATGTCTCATGGACACAGCCTGTCGATGAGTACATTCATGGGAATCTTCGAGGTTACGAGATCGCTTACACCCCGGCTAATGGGGCTGCAAATGCCACGCGAAGAGTGATGCTATGTCATTTGAATACTTCATTTCACTTGAAATGTCTGCAAGTATATACTTTGTATAACATCACTGTGGCTGCTTTCACTATCAAGGGAATAGGGAAAGCGAGTCGACTGCTTCAGGTTCGGACCGGTGAGGAAGGTACGTTGAAGCTTTTATGACGTATGAAGTAACGTCAATTATTTGGAACGTAAAAGGTTTCAGTAACTAGGTTTAGATGAATTTATGCCCAATGACATTTATACAAAGATGCACGACGAAGATGCAATGAAATAATTCTGAAGAACCAGAACAAAAGGCCTTGCCCCTTTGAATTGTGGAATCATAAGTAGCTGCGTGTGAATACTTACGATTGGGGTCGCATCTTGACATTTATTCTCTGCCAACACCACGCACTCACACATTCAAATGACCATTATTATCTACTTTTCTTAATTCTTTTTTTCTACGTAATCTAATCACATAGCCTTTTAGATCGGGCTGCAAGAACTTAGGGAGAACTACTTATTTATCGCCGGGGTGGTACCCTTTGGGGGGGATCACATTCTGTTCGCGGGAACGGAGAGTGGGTCAATCGTTGCTGCCAGAGGAAAACAGTACGGGCCATGGACATTTTTGTCTATAACATCTCCTGTGATATGATTCCTCTGGAAAATACCAAACAAACTGATACAGCAGAGAAAGGATAGGGATGATATTATTTCTCACTAGCTTTTTCCTGACGGCCATGTTGTAATGCGAAGAGGACGGCAGAGCAGAATTCAAAATTTTAAAAGAAACATTGACTTCTTTATTTCTGTATTACTGTATTACAAATCTAATATCATAGGTGACAAATTACTCCTTAATTTTGGCGCGAAGTTTCAGCATTAATTTTTAATTTCACATGTGAAATTGCAAAATTGCCATGGTAACATCTCTTGTATCTCGATCAGAGCCAAAATGGCGTCGAGATTTAAGACGGTGACTCTTGAAAAAGTTNATTCTTTCTTTGGCCTGGCCCCTTTATTCTTGGCGCTAAGTCCCAAAACACTACATTGACCCCACGTTTAGTCAATAACCCATGTATTGCATCAGGTTGCGTATTGTTAAAGTGCCAGGGAAAATAATCTTTTAAACAGCTCCAACCCAAGCACCTTTAGATGTCAGTGCAAAACCTCACAGCGAGACCAGCATCCGAATTACATGGAACAAAGTCGATGCATGTCACAGAAATGGGAAAATAGTTGGATACAACGTAGAAATGTATAACAGCACCTCGGGTCAAAAATGGTATAAGGATGTCAACTATACGACTCCGGGTGAAGCGATAGAGGAAAATCTCGTGTACGCGAATTACAGTGTTAGAGTCAGGGCTAGAACGAAAGCTGGGGAAGGACCCTACAGCGAGTGGCATAATACTACAACACATAAACCAGGTACGAACTGATAAAAAGGGTAATTGAACTGAGTGGAGGGAAATTTGTAGATTTCATGGCAAAAATTCAATTATTACTTTATCATATTCAAAACTTTAACTGTTATGAATTGCATAAAAATTGGAAAAAAAAAAAAAAGAAAGATAATGTTAAGTTTTGGGAAAAAAAATTCCAAAATTTGCCACAGAAAGACTTCTTCGTCTTTCATGTTTCTAAAATTTGATTATTTTTTTTCAGTTATTACATCCCTTTTGAAAACACTGGTGGTCCCTGTAATCTGATTGGCTCTTATTGGTGCGATTTATTCACAAATCGCACCCTTTTATGCTCTAAATCGCATCATTTTACGCTTGACTGAGTTTTTGACACATGATGTCAAAGTCTTTCTGTTTTGCATACAAAATAAGATGTAAAAGCATTTCTGGTTCCACTTTTTATTTAAAAACTGGCTCAGCTCTGCATCAGTAAAATATTTAAATTGACCAAGTCCTGTATTTGGGCGATTTCAAAATGGTTGTAATAAAGTGGTAATTGAACCTCGTGTCGTGCAATTTTGGTCTGAAATCATACTTGTGATTTCAAATCACGCGTATGATTTCAGACCAAATTGCACTCTACTCAGTTCAATTACCATTATAAAACAAGCCTCGAAATCTAATTGGTTGTTTTGTTGTAAGTGTTGATTGTCATTAGCTGGGAAAAAGATGCAACTTAAAGCAATGAATTAATGCGATTCGTGAGTAAATTACGCTTCTGAGAGCCAAATAGATTTCCAAGAATACCGGTGGTTTCAAGATGGATGTAATAAAATAGGGTATCCGTCCTTCACAGCAAGATGAATGTTAGATGAAAAGGGAGACCGATCAGATCATATTGCCCGGTCGTATTAATCTACAAGCGTTCTATCACACAAATACTGCATTCTGATTGGTTATGCTACTTGTTATCTCTATCCGGGATAGACGAAGGATGAAATGAATGTAGCTTGACACTGTGCGACTGCAAAATTGAACCAGTTATTAATCAGCCAGTCATTATTTATATTAACCTTTCGTCATTCATCTCTTGTAAAAAGGGGGAGAGAGAACGGAGGATTTTGGGGAATCACATGGTTTTCAAGGGGAACGGAGGGGTGGGGGGTTAGTCGTCGCCGACAGAGTATAAGAGGGAGAAATAGAGTGTCTAGTAACAGGAGGCGGAGAGGGGTCGTGAGAATTTTAAAGAAATTTATGAGGAGATAAGGAAAATTTTCGCGTGACACAGCCAGAAACAACGTGACTTAAAAAGGACTACAAGTCACAGCACATCTTAAGTTAACTCAGGTTGCGCTTCCTTGTTGTCGCTCTGTTGGCTTTGATTCTCGACCAAGTAAATAAAACTCTGATCCAAGAAAACGGTAACAATATAAACGGTTAAAGGCATAGTTATGATTTGATTTTTAATGTTTTTTTTTTCTTTTGCTTTCAGCACCGACCTTTGTTCCACAAATTATTACTGCCACAGCCACGGGAAATACAACCATCAACGTGAAGTGGAATTGCACAGGCACCCCATCAAATGCCGATTACGAAGGATACAAGGTTCGGTACGGACTGCGTATCCCCAGGAGCCATCTAAGCACAGAAGTAGACCGCAAACCCTGCGAAGCAAACTTAACTCGTCTCAAACCGTTCACTGAATATTTTATCAGAGTAGCGGCTCGCACAACACAAGAAGGGAACTACAGCAAAGAGCTATCCGTTACGACTCACGAAGGAGGTATGTAGGAAGGCTATTTGTTTTAACAAGTCTTCGTATAGACAATTAGTTGCTGGAAGCAAACCAGAACTGTTCTGATTTTGCTTCACTACTAATTCCGCTGAGAATTGCTCATGAAGACTCACGCCACCCTCTCGGCCCTGCACTTGCATGAGTTAAGGTTTACCACCAGACCTCCGGTAATTCCGATGGACACAGATGGACTCCATTGGATTCCGATGGACGAATGGATACTGATCGAGTTAGCGGACAACATTTCTGTCCTCCCTGATTTTCATCTGACCTCCGGTACCCATCTGCGTCATGACTTCCGTTTATCTTACTTTCGTTAGAAGATATCGTGAATATGATATTTCCTATTCCATCAGAAAACTACGTTTTGAATCGGAATCTATTGGTTTGTAATGGACATGCGTGCCAATCAAATGCAAAACTAGAATTAAGTAATAACAGCTAAAGCGCTGTAACACGTAGATGACACTTTTTTTCGAGTTTCCGTTGGCACTCTACTTTCTTTTAATTGGCCGTAGCTAAAATTTATTTATTTTTAGTCTTAGCCTTAAACTCCCACATGTGATTAACTTGTAACTTCTCCCTATAATATCCATACATTATCCATGAAACAGGTAATGAGAATACTCAATCTTATTAGGTAGAACTTATCTTTATCTAACACCAAATTCTCGTAACTAATTTACAAGGAAATTTGTGGCATGCAGAGGGGAGAATTAATAATCAGATTTTGGGAGTAGAAAGATTGAGAAGCGCCCAGAAATGACTAAATTTGATGGACACGTCGTGAAAGTTTCGAAAAAAACCCCGAGGCGGTTTTTTTTTTCAGTTTTAGTGTTAACTTAACGTCGACCACATACGTTTTGATGAATTGACTTTTTTTTCTATTCACTAAGTGCCTACAGCAGCGCCTGATGTCACATGGGAAATCCTGCACTCTTCCGAAGTCCGCATCTCTTGGCAACGCATTCCCAAACCCAACCATAGCGGCATAATCCAGGGTTACCACATTGAGTACCACCCTGAAGATAACAAAACTGCTGTTCTGAAAGAAGATATAAAAAATGAGAAATTACTTTCTACTGTTCTTAAGTCACTGAAGAAATTTTCGCAATACAACATTAAGGTGTCCGCGTATACCTCAGTGGGAGACGGGCCGGCTGATAGCGAAACATTCCAGACGGGTGATGATAGTAAGTCCATTAAACAAATTTTAGAATAGGGAACGGTGACTCGGGACTGGGGTCAGAGGACGAGACGTGACAAAAATAGGGAACGGAAGAGAAAGGGTCGCGGGGAACCTCGGACCTTGAACCCAAACAGTGGCGAAGAGAAGATCGAAAATATGGTATAGGGAATAGGAAATGCTGGAAATAAGGAAAACAGAACTAAACCGAAATGGGAAATGGGGAACAGCGCTTTAGGGGTTCAGAGGCAGGAAATAGAGGAAGACGTACCCGGAAATGATTTCTGCTTTGGATGTGGTTCCACAGTATTCAGTTAAAATTCATTTCTCAAAAGGATTTCTCATGGAAGCTCTTTTGAGATGAGGATTCTCTGATCTTTTCTCTCTATTTCACAACATTCGTAAATAAATGAATAAATAAATGGATAAATATATAAATCGATAAGAAGAAAATATCTGACGATTATTTACTTTCTGCACGATGCTCACAGGGTGCTGCTCAAACAGCAATGCTGAAAGTATTTTAGGATCCTGAACAAATGTTTTTTTCACATTAGTTCCCAGTGCAGCTCCAATAAACCTAACAGCTATCAATTCAGTCTCACCACACAAAATCAATGTGACCTGGAAACCAGTTCCCTCAGGGTACATGAACGGGGACTTGGTTGATTATGAAGTGAACTACCAGCGAGTGAAGATCGGTGGTGTACCAATAGATTATGAACCTGTTAGGTCCAGGATTACAATGAATACCACATTGACTTTAGAAAACCTTGACCCATATTCTGAGTACGAAATTACCGTCGCAGCCAGGACGAAGAAAGGACTGGGCCCCAGAACGTTGGCTTCATATGGTGGTAAGAAATCAAGTATCAGCCTTTCTTTTTTGCATGCTCGTGCATGCAGTAAATAAAATGAAAAAGACAAAATTATGTAACTCGTGCATGCAGTAAATAAATTAAAAAAGACAAAGCTAGGTAATTATGAGATTTAAGTGTTAAGAAATCGACTTAGTGGTCCTTCTCTTCTACTGTCCCGAATGGCTCGTTTCTCGAGAGTCAAGCGGTCAAAACCGGTCTCTAGTCTCAACCTTCAAATTAACTCTTCAACAACTGAGAAGCACTGGATGGTTCGGGGATAAAACGACTATCGAGTAAATGGATTGGATACCTGATGAGTGGGCAACCACGAAACAGGCTTGTAGAGATGAACTTGCAGTTTATTTGTCTTTCTACTCCCACAATATATATATATATATATATAAATATTATGAGAGGAAAAAAGGACGTAACTACATTTCCCGACAAGCCTGTTTCGTGAATCGCTTCACTCTTCAGGGGTTTAATGAAAGAATATTCATGTGACTATCGTTTATATACTAGGAAAATTTGCATAATGCGCGGTAAACTTAAAAACTTTAAAGTTCAGTTGTTGCGTAGCAACGCTTTGTTTCTGTGTCGGCATGAAGATACGAGTTCGTTACGCTTATTTAGTGATGAGAGGTCGGGTCGGTAAATTATCAGGAATTTTTCTTTTAGGCAGAGGTTGCATCTTTTATTGGAGCTGTTGTAGGGAGAGTTAGATGATAAGATGCGCCATGAGATAGAATAGTCAATGTTGCAAAAACTCTACCGAACTTAGCAAACACATCTGGACACTCAAGAACGACAACATTGACTATTCTATCTCATGGCGCATCTTATCATCTAACTCTCCCTACAACAGCTCCAATAAAAGATGCAACCTCTGCCTAAAAGAAAAATTCCTGATAATTTACCGACCCGACCTCTCATCACTAAATAAGCGTAACGAACTCGTATCTTCATGCCGACACAGAAACAAAGCGTTGCTACGCAACAACTGAACTTTAAAGTTTTTAAGTTTACCGCGCATTATGCAAATTTTCCTAGTATATAAACGATAGTCACATGAATATTCTTTCATTAAACCCCTGAAGAGTGAAGCGATTCACGAAACAGGCTTGTCGGGAAATGTAGTTACGTCCTTTTTTCCTCTCATAATATTTATTCTGCTCTGCTTCAACGTATTGAGCACTGTTCCACGCGAAAATCGACTTGCAGACTTCCTATATATATATATATATAGAAATATGTATGTAACTGTCTACGAGGGAAACCCTGACCCTGTACACCCCAAATAATCATTCTTAAATTGAGTAAATGTCTGAAAAGAAAATTTGCCCTAAGCGGGTTTTAAACCCGCGTCCCCCTGTTACTAGTCAGGTGTGATGACCACTACACTATCAGGACAACCATGCTGGCAACATGGCAATCGAAGATGTGATTTACGTGATCGGAGACGTGGTCTCCCGGGAAACTTAATTTTCAAGGTGACATGGTAGGGGAAGCCTATAACCCCATATGAAACCTAACTAAGGATCTATTATAGATTGCCATGTTGCCAGCATGGTTGTCCTACTAGAGTAGTGGTCATCACACCTGACTAGTAACAGGGGGACGTGGGTTCAAATCCCGCTCAGGGCAAATTTTCTTTTCAAACATTTATTCTATATAAATATTTATGTCTGTATGCATGTGAGGAAGTAGCCGATATTGTTGAATAGTGCTCAATACACATGTGCAGAGCTTAATAAAGTGGGTAAAGATTAAATAAGACGACACATGGTTTCTGTTACTCGGAGTTTCGTGCTTACGCACTCATCAGACAGACTATGAAAAACGTTCCTGACAAGCTAGTTTATATATAGAGGTGTGATAAAAAATTATTGTTATTTACAATTGCGGCATTACAATGGGGCTAAGGTATTACGAATGAGGTGGCAGCGGACGCGAACTAATTATCTGTGGTAGTAGGTAGCGGAATAATAGTCTATTGTGGTGTTCGGTGGTAATTAGCTATACTTCAAGTAGTATTTGTTCTCGTGTACTTCAGTGCTTCGAATTACGATAGCCATTATTATTGTAATTACAATTAGATCTGTGACGTAATAAGTCAATAAACACACTTTGCTATGCCTGAAGAGCCGCAACGGCGGTGAAACGCATAGCGCAAAAGCAAAGAAAAGGAAAACTTTCGTTTTTCATTGGTTTTAGTATATATATTTTTTTATTATTATAATTTTATTCGATCTGTAAGAGACAAAACATAATTCTTAAGAAATCTAACAGTGAGCGATTCATGAAATTACATATATGGAAGACACGAAATTACAATACTGAAAGTCAAACCGGTTTCAAAACAAATTGCACACTACTGTGACGTTATCCAGTCAGAAATTACTACAGAATAGGTCAGCGAAACGGGAAAGAAACGGATCAGCGGAAAAACTACAGATTATCTGGCGAGGAAAAGTTCTTTTTTTTTCTTCAACTGAAAAACGTTTCATTTGATCTCAAGGTAAACTTACCTATACGATTGCGCCATCGACTGTCAATCAAGGCTAAAATCAAATGTCAATCAGCTTATTTGTAAAATCAACAATCAATCGACGAGATACTGAATTCTAATTTTCTATAACCATGAAAGAATCAAATGAAAAGATCATGAGAATGAAGAAAAAGACCAATTTGGGAAGCTCGTGACTGTCAAACAAATTCTCCTTGTAAGTACTAGGGGAAAAGTAAAGAGAGCAGTATGGAGAATATCAATGCCACTATAAGGGTGTTAAGGGCTAATGGTTTTAACATTTAACGAATGCATAAATAAAATTGTAAGGAAATAAACCAGAAAGGAACGGTTAGTGATCACATTCGAACACAGTTTTCGAGCCATTGGATCACTCGTTTGAATCTCAGAGCGCTTAGTGCAAGCAGTTAGTGTTAGAAGGCGAAAATGAAACTTAAACGATTCGCGAACCGTTCTCTCTTGAATGTTGTCAGAATTTCACTAAAAAAGTCCACCGTTAGGACCACCAGCCCCTTTAATTTCTCGTTCGTGTGTTCTTTTTTTTCATTCAGAAACATGTCCCTGCGAAAGAAGTTTCACGACTAGTTGGAGGCGATACGAACCGTATGTTAATTTCACAAAAGACAATGAACCTGGTGAGATAATTCCGCTCGTACTGCGTTCCATGGTCCGAGAATGTTGCGGAAAATGCCAGAGTTATGGTCAGGTGGAGCTGGACTTCAAACACGATGGCAGATCGAATTCATCGGAGCGCAACTCTAATCAAGATCTCCTCGATAATTTGGATGAATCCACCGATTTTACTTTCCCTGTTTCTGGTTACAAAGAGCAAGACAGTTACAAAGGTGGATACGGCTTTGCTCCAGTCATCGAATCTGCCGGTGTTGCGTTTATTGTTTACCCCGAAAAAACACAAAACCAGAACACTATGTATCAGTCACTGCTTCTTTGTTTGCCCGTATTGGGTTTGCCAATAATTACAGCTTACATCGCCGGTGTTATCATATGGTGTTTGGTAAGTAAAATTTTAAGAGAATTTTTTACGCTGTCTTACAAAGTTTAGTCAGCGGACACACTTAGAGGAAGCAGGCGCCTTGCATGAAAGGACCAAATTAAGTTACTAAGGAGAACATCACCATATGGTGCCAGGGAGGGTTACTAGTGGCGTTTAACGCACAGAAAAAAAAATACTGCTAACAAGCGTTGAAAGATTGAACTGACATTTACATGCAATGATGATCCGATCGTCCGGTTCTGCGTGTAGCTGCCTAGTTAAACTCCTGTACCATATATGTTTTGCTGGTACGTTTATCCATCATTCTGTTCACTAAGTTAAATGATTTGCTGTCTGTCACATGTCTATTAGGAGAGAAGTCGAAATCCACATGACTTTCCACCATCGTTTATTCTCGGGACTTGGGAGGGAATTTGGTGGTCGTTCGTTTCTATGACAACGCTTGGGTGAGTTATAGTCCTGCAGAATACAGCTGGGTTGATCCAAACGATAAGTTTGAGCGAATGCTCTGTTGCTATTTAGTTTTGTAGTTTTGTAGAGACTTTCCCTGCTAACACCTTGGGACGTCCAGTTTTGCTTCACAATACGATACAGTCCCTGATCGATGGCATGTCACAGACTTTCATAGAAGAGAAATAAAAACAAAACTGAAATTTTAATCTTGGATTAGCGCTATCCGACTTCTGAGCAACCGCACCCAGATTTATAAGAAGGATTTGGCAATTTAATTGCAAAGAAATCAAGGGTATAAAAACTTGCAATTAACCCTTAAACCTCAGAGACCGAGTTTTATGGCAAAAAGAATTATTACAAGAAGCAACAATAAACTAAGAAAGAACAAAGAAGGCCAAGAGCGAGGGTTAGAAAATATTAACCGTGTTAGCGAAGATAAGAACGACTTCTCGTAAGGGGCAGATCGTTATTTTTCTAGAGGAGGGGTATGAGAAATTTTCGTCTGCAAACATTTTTTTTAAACATACATGTCTCCGCAAACACTTTTTTCCAATATCATCTTCGTGCAGACATTTTTTTCTCTTTTTTTTTTTTAGCGTTCTTTTTATTTCTGCTAAATATTACCATTGTCTTATTGAACTGTTTTACAAAGAACGTAATCAATAGTGCTCTCTAGAGCCACTTATTTTGTCGATATATGCTCCAGTCACCTTTTAAAATTTTTTGGCAGCTACTTACCAGACTTCTTTGCAAACATCTTTTTTATCCTATCATGTTTGCAAACAATTTATTTTGTCTTTTCAGACACTGTAAACCATTTTTTTTAATATTTCTTATACCCCACCCCCAGAAAAATAATGGTCCATCCCTAATGATGACATCTTTCGTTGAATTCCTCAGGTATGGCGACCGCGCCCCTCTGAGCCCCAGGGGACGGTTTTTTGCTATAGCTTGGGTACTGTTTGGACTAGTAATCATTTCGCTTACCATGGCTATGATCGCCGCAGCACTAACATCGATTACTCTGAAGAGTGAAATAAAGCTGTACGGAAGTAAGGTAACTAGCGGCTTTCCTATTCTTAACGAACGATTTACGTAGACCACAACGACTCATACAACTGGAGAGGGTCGTTAAAAGAGATTCCTTCGAGCACATCATCGTTTCTTGGTACCACTGTTTCTTTGCCTTCCGATGTAGGCAGGAAAAGTAGCTCGTAAAATAAAACATGGACGATTCAACCGTGCATCGGAAGCCAAAACAATGAGTCACAAAAAGCATTCAAAACAAAGTTAGATAATTTTCAATTGGGAGACTATGGTAATTCGGGACCAGAGATTTTGCTTCATTATGCTCTGAGATTAATTTTAAAAAACTCATCCCGTCCTCTGACGAACAAAAACCAGCGACAACTTGGTCAACGGAATTTCCCCGCACTTGAGTCGGTCACATGGCCATACCTTGAGTTGTCATCAACTATCTATATTTTCCTTTCTTCCCATTGGCCGTTCTGGTAGTTATTGTACTTTGTGTTACGTAACTCAATCAAAGTAACTGATGAACGATTGGTTTGAGTTTGCCTTCGATTGGCTGAGAGTTTGGCGGGGAGTTTTCTACACCAATCCCAGAGCAAATTAAGGTAAAGCAGACTCGGTGCAAAATGGATTCCTATTGGCCTAAACTCCAACTAGGCTACCGCTCTCGACAGAGTTAATTAACGAATCATGGTATGAATTTCCTTCAGGTCGCAGCTGAGTTCAATTCTCCCGAGTATAACGTGGGCATGAGACGAAATGCTAAAATTGATCCAGGTACCTAATCGTAAAGTTAATTAATCAAAAAAATTATACATTAGACTTACTATGAAAACTCTGATTGGTCGAGAGCGTACAGTCAATATACAATAGCGCGTGAAGTTACTTGTAACCCACTATCTGCTGCACACATCGGGTTATCATGTCGATTTCATCATGTTTCTCAAACTTCTGCAAACTCAGATAGAAGTAACTTCTCTCGCAGATTGTTTAAAAAATGTATAATAAAATATTTCTCATGATATCAAACCGCGTGTTTGTATGTTATCTGCCTCAGCTTTCAGCTTCGGGAGATAACTTAGACCTCAGCATTGAGAATTCATGATATCATACACAAGCTCATCCAATAATTGCTTATTATTATATAGCTGAGTCTCACAAGGACTGGGAACTACCGAATTCGCGAATTTTATTGGCTGAAATCAATATTGAAAGTGGTCTAGATTTTCCCATCTGGTCCGGCACCTAGACCGGTCTAGAAAAAAAAGGCACAAAGAATATAAAAAATTGGCATATAAGACACAGCCATATAATAACCGAGCAAGGTCGGTCTGTATGGGAGAATCTTGACCGAGGTCGCTGGTACAGACCTCACTGAGTTCGGTCTGTACTCGCGACCTCGGTCAAGATTCTTCCATACAGATCTCCCGCTCGGTTAAAAAGAACTAAATAACGGATAACATGTGGACCGGGAGATGGGATTGATAACCAGTCCATGGCAAGCCCCCCTTCCCCCCACCCCCTTAGACACTTCATTAGTTAGCCTTCCCTAGCAGTTGGCTGGTATGCATTCGCACTCCTGGGCGAAGAGAGGTATGGTGAGGGTAAGAGTGTCTTAACTAAGAACAGGTCACGAACCCGAACCTCCTGACCCAGAGTTCAGTGCGCGCGCACCATGTCACCGAGTCTCACCAAACTTTTCTACTCAGCTGTTCTTCGTAAGAGTAAGTATAAGCTGAGAATAGGATCAAGAAAAAACTAAAAACCAACAAGAATTGTAAATCAAGACATCAATTGACTCAGATTGTGGAGTAAGAATTATGAAAATTTCGTGCTTCTTTCAAGGAGAACTTCTCTTTTGTGCGGAGAAATTTGACACCAGCAGTTTAGCATATTGGGTCCTAATGTCAAAAAAAAAAAATCAAATCAAATATCAATCAAGTTCAGTTTTGATCAAACGTGTATGTAAATAAATTCATGGTATTTTTTCATAACGAAGCGCAAGTCATCTGATCTGAGGCAACAAAAGTTACGAAACACCATGGAGCACGCGCTTGGTTTCCTCCCTCTTTAAGATACGCGACTAGACAACCTGCTCGTTTAGAAATTTCGTTTACGACTCCCCCCTCCCCCCAACAAAGAGTACTCCCCTCCACCACCCCACCAAATAATTCCACATCGTGTGTTTTATTTTCACTTTGAAGACAAGCCTTATTACAGCGTCGATGAGATGACAGAGGCACTTCTGAACAAGGAGGTCGAAGGGATCTTAGTGGATACTTATTCGGCGGGCCTGCGAGGCGATCTCTTCAATCGACCCGAGTTACGAGTCAATCAGATCATTGACTACAAGACCGCATACGGCGTGGTACTCGGTCGTCACGCTACCCAACTTGGCAAGTGTTTCGAGCGCTACTTAACTTCGAACAGGGCGGAGATTTTCGAGATGATCAAAAGAAAAGCTAAGCCAATCGAGGTGAGCAAGAGATAATCGCATTCGAAAAGAAGCGAAGCTCTTTGAGTTGCGGTTCATTACTTTATATGTGATAAAATTTATTACGCACGTAATTTGGGTTAATTCTTACATATAATCTATTGGAGGACAGATACGTAGAGGACGTCACCATCAACAACATTTTGCTTTTTTACCATATAAAACAGATAGATTCCATGTTGAAGTAGGTCTGTGCCTTAATAGATCAAAGAAGACGTAAAATTGCGATAAAAGCTGTTCTCAATACCAAAACAGTTGAATAAGCAGGAACAAGTTGTCAAATAAATAATTTATTTCGAGCTCAAAACCAAAATGGCCGTTGCAGGAGAAAAAAGCACCGAAGCACGCGGTCCGCAGCGGCAAAGCCACAAAAGGGCGGGAAAACGAGTGATATTTGAACAAATCCTTCTCTAACAAAAACATCACTGACAAACACAGCTGCTGAAACTTGAAAACGTGAAACTTTTTTGTTCTGTACCACATTTTGAGGTCATCTGCGATCTATCTTTGAATAGACCCAAAGCAACATGAAATCTGTTTGTGCAACTATTTTTACATTAATTCAAGGTAAGGGTGGAAATTTTGGGAGACAGATGATATGGCATTATCATCTGTATTAAACATCCAAGGATAAATTAAGATTTGATAAGAATGGAGCAATCCCCAAGAGGGTGATATTTCAAACGAGAAGGACAATCACTCTTGTCCCTTGTGATATAAAAACACCTTTTATCTCACCCAATATATCCTAGAAATTCATGTTTACTCCGAACCGACTCAACAGCAACGGTAACGGTTACGGTAATGATAACGATAACGGTAACGGTAACGATAACGATAACGATAACGCTGGTGATGCATGTTTCAAATTTGTTTCAACACGAAGTAGTTCATTGCCATTCAAGTCGACGTGAAAGATTACTTTTGATAAGTTAGAGATGATCTGCTTCACTGGTGGATGGGCGAACCCCGTATTAAGCCAACAGCCTACCCCTACAGGAAGCAAAGCAATTTATCAAAGTGAAAGCTTAATCCAGGTTCCATTTTAGACATGTTTTCATTACGTTCCACTTCAGACTTCTGGTTCCGGGGAAACGGCCGAAGAAGACGCGTCAGGCGGCCTGTTGGACAGCGGTTCCCCTACGTTCCTGAAGGCCCTGAGATACGCATGCGTATCATTAGGAATTGCCCTTGTCTTCTCGCTCATATACGAATGCATACGTTGTATAAGAACAAGGCAAAAGGTTCACCAAAATGGTAAGAATAAGAATTTCTTCTTCTGCTCAGAGAGCATATTGAATTTCAATTATTCTCGGAACGCCAAAAGAGATTTCACTTTGTTGCAAAGTAAACTGAAGGAAGTCGTCCTTGTTTGCCTCAGAACATGGTGCTGTAGTATCTTGCAGCTCTAGTGATATGTAAAAATATCCACCAAGCAAACAAACAAGAGAGGATTTTAGTTAGCGTCACGATAAAATTTTTCTGATCCCCTCTAAGGCCCTTTTTGTACTCTGTTGGCGAAGACTGATCCCCTTTCCGATACCCCCTGAAAACCATGCGATTCCCCAAATTTTCAATACAGGTGGAAGACAATACAAGTGGGCCGTTGGGACCGCTAAATAGAGGTGACCACTTAAACGAGATGTTAATTACAGCGATTAAACGGAAAGAAAGTTATTACTTTGACAACCGACCGCTTAATTATAGGGTGACCTCTAAATACGATGCCGCTAAATAGAGGTTTGACTTAATAGCAAAGAGAGGTATTTTAAGCATGCAAAACTGGCAATCAATATCGCCTTTTTTCTTCAAAGAGAGCCATAAGGCAAAGCTTCAAGAGGAAATGCATGCCTTGGTTGGAGAGTTAAACAAGCGTGTGCTACAGATCAAGATGAAATTAAGGGAGAAGCATGTCAAACAGATCATCAAGTATTGGAAGCTGCAAAGAAAATCGATGCGCGAAACTGGGATGGAAAAAGAATGGTTGAGGATTTCCACTGCGTCTCCACACAATAGGGAACTCACTATATCTGAGATATAAATATTTAAGCTTTTTAATATATGATCAAGTTTGTGTGACCCCAAACAGCTTCGCATCCACGGAACGACACTATTTTTTAAGAATAACAGCCCATTTCCGAACTACCTTAAGCCTCTTTTAAAGCGAGTCCTGGTGCTCATCATTTCATATTATTATTTATTATTATTATTTATTATTTATTATTATTATTATTATTTATTATTTATTATTATTATTTATTTATTATTATTTTTTAAAGCGAGTCCTGGTGCTCATCATTTCATATTATTATGAGTTTTGATTCACATGCAAATTAAATTCATTTTCATACGTCAGACCTCGTTTTGAGAAAGAGGCTAAAGGTGATTCGGAAATTGCCTATTACTTATTCAACTTGAAAGAAAGGGGAAAAATATTAGTTGGGCAAATTGGAGAAAAACATAAGAGGCAATCCTCAATCATGAAGGAGAGGGGTGCCCAGGGATGGCAAAGATTTCCAAGGATTTCAAATATTCAAATCGTGAAATCCTTGACGGAGCTCTAATTTGGTTATTCCCTAGTTTCGTATCACGCACCATTACTGTACAAAATTGCATATGCAAGAAATGGTGGTTTCCTCTTTATGGCCATTGCTTTTCAAAGGGGAAGATTGTCCCTTTGCTTTTGTGCACAAGTGTGATGCTCCCATTTTCACTATGTAATTTAATAATCCTTCCTAAAAAAAAAAGGAACAAAAGGAAAAAAAAGAATTTAAACTGACTCCAACTCCAAATGGAGAGATCTTCAAATGTGTGTCAAAAGTTTACCATGTTGCGGTGGTTTTGCTTCAGTTCGCTATGTGATTGGTTGCGAGATCGCACCACTCTCTCAACCAATCGGACACAAAGACAAATCCAACTTTTCGATAACTCACGTTTTCCACATCAAGTTCTTTGAAATGGCTTTTCAAAAAAAGATTTCTTTTATGAACACTTTGTTTCCTCTTTTTACGGTGCTTAATTCAAATTATAGCACACTAATCAACCAATGAATACAAACGTGAATTTAACAAAAGCGACTTACAAGTCTTGCGTTTGAGGCGCTGCTAATCTTGAAAAAAATACTAAACTCAGTTTGATTCACATTCAAGCTACGTTAAGATAAGTAACCAAAGAGTTTCATAAAACTTTCACGGAAATTGTTACTTCAGAGGAATGATCTTTTCGTACAATTTTTTGAAGAGAGTGCTGCCTTCATTATATCTACGTCAACCGCATCGTTCTCCTACGTTTGTTAAGCATTCATTGCGATTGATTCGCGAGCAATGCGAGAAAAAGTATATATATCGTACAACAAAACATACACCTTGGATGACATTTTCCACTAAAAACCCTGAAAATGGCGCTGGATGATTAGAGATGATTCACTGTAGATAATTATTTTTAAATTGGCACGAATCCGCTCGAAATCGCGTTCTTGGCCCTTTTACATTCATCATTGCAAACACTCAATAATCAATACGCGTGTTAGGTGAAAAAAGTAGAGAGTAATTTCTAAGGTTTATGGACATTTATAAGGTTTCTTTGAGCTAGTAAGTAATAGCCTTTGTACAATAGCAAGACACAGATGACTCTTTTTAAAAATTGTACGTGCAGTTAGTTGGAAAAAAAAACGCAAGTAAAAATAAAGTTATTTTATGTTCTTCTTTCGGGTTTTGTTGCTAATACTGTATAGTTAACCAAAGAGATAAGTTACTCATATTTCGGGTTTTTTTTTTTTCACGGGGGAGGAGGGGAAGAGGGGAAGGGGTAACTAGCTCAATCTCCTAAACGTGGAGTCAACACGCGTATATAAAAGAAAAATAGCTTGCGTTGTTTCCACTATTAACCCAAAGCCACCCGAACTGGACAGGATTTCTCAACTGGTTCTGTTTTCCCTTTTTTATCGTTATTTGATTTTAT